GACGGGGAGAATTTCCTGGGCTCCCGCTATGACCCAGCGGCGTTCCCCGAGCGCGCCGAGGTCTCCCTGTGCCCCGAGGGCAGGGGGGCTTTGGAGGAGAAGGACTCGGTGGGCGAGCACTGCCCCGGGCAGTGCCTGCCCTGGGCCTGCAAGGTGTGCAAGAGGAAGACGGTGTCCATGGACCGGCGGAGAGCAGCCACGCTGCGGGAGAAGCGGCGGCTCAAGAAGGTGAACGAGGCGTTCGAGGCGCTGAAGCGCAGCACCCTCCTGAACCCCAACCAGCGGCTGCCCAAGGTGGAGATCCTGCGCAGCGCCATCCAGTACATCGAGCGGCTCCAGAGCCTGCTCAGCTCCCTCAACCAGCAGGACCGGGAGCAGCGAGAGCTGCGGTTCCGCCCCGCAGCGCCCCAGCCCGCGGTGAGCGGCACCGGGAACCGGCACTGGGAGGGGGGCTGGGAGGGGGGATGGACGGGGGCATGGATGGGGCATGGATGGGGGAATGGATAGGGGCATGGATGGGGACATGGATGGGGCATGGATGGGGACATGGATGGGGACATGGATGGGGGGATGCCCCACGGGGGAATGATGGATGGGGAGATGCCCCACAGGGTGATGCCCAACGGGGGTGATTCCCCATGGATGGGGTGATGGTCTATAGGGGCTCTGCCCAATGGGGGTGATGCCCCATGGGGTTTTGCTGGATGGGGTGATGCCCTGGGGGGGTCAGGCCTCATGGATAGGGGTGGTGCTGTCTGTACCCTTTGGGGGTGATACCCCATGGGGTGATGCTCTGGGGGAATGGTGGTCTATGGGGGATCTGCCCAAAGAGGTTGATTCCTGATGGGGGTGATGCCATTTCTTTGGGGATGATGCCATATGGGAGTGACGTTCTATGGGGGTGAAGCCATTTCGGGGTGACACACTGTGAGGGTGATGCCATGTGGGAGTGATGCCCTATGGGGACAGTGCCCTGTGGAGGTTATGCCCTATGGGGGTGACACTCTGTGGGGGTGACAGTGCTCTGTGGGGTGATGCTGGGTGGGGGTGACACTGTGGGGGCGATGCTGTAGGGGAGTGATGCTCTATAGGGACGATGCCCTATGGGGTGATGTTCTATGGGGGTGACACTGTGGGGTTGCTGCTCCATGGGATGGTGCTTTATGGGGGTGATGCAATTTCGGGGTGACACTGCTATAGGGGAGTGGTGCTCTGTGGGGACATTGCTCTGTGGGGACAGTGGGGTCACTGCTTTGTGAGTGACACGCGCCTGGGCTTTGGAGGGATCACACGGGCCAAAATGAAGGAAGTAACACGAAAGCAAAATAAACCAAACTAAATTAAAAATAAGATGGAATAAAATAAAATAATTGAATCAATAAAATGAAAGATAAATATAGAAATGAAAATTAAGTAAAAATATCAACCACAAAAATTGGAGTATAAAAGGTCAATAAAACAAAATTAACACTTGGAGGGGTATTTTCAGCTGCCCTCTGGTTCCTGGGGGAGTGCTGGGTGTGCACTCTGAGCCTTTGGATATGGAATGTACAGAGAGCTCCAGGCGCAGGTGATACAGGTAGAGATTGTAGATAAAGGAGATGAATGTGTGGTACAGGCATTGATGATACAGATTAGAGAGACAGAGATTATAGAGATAGTGAATACAGCTGAAATAGGTGTGGATAGAGCTCTATAGTTAAATATGTGTATATGTGATACAAATATATGTATGTGATATCTAGAGATGATATAAATATTGATAAGATTGTATATATATAACACATATATATAAATGTTATGGATATATGTATATATAGAGAGAAATTATGTATAGATATAGATAATTTATATATAAGTAATGCAGATATGGATATAAATGTCATAGATAAAATAGAGATGTATAGATGTACATGTAGATCCAGATAGATATAGATATGTATGATATAGAGGGACTTGGTAAGAATGGGATTCCCAGAGATTCATCTGCTTTCACTCAGGGATTTAAGGACCAAAGTAGCAGGAACCAGTAACCCAGCATTTAATGCTGAATAAAGGGCTGGAAAAGCCTTTAGGCCCCATCCTGTTCCATATTCTCAGGATTTTGCAGTATCCACAGATACCAGAATCCAATTTCCACTTCCCAGGATCCACTTGGATTTGGGTGGATTTGGTGGCTGTCCATGCAAAGCGTCCAAAACTGTGCTGAGCAGCCTCTGTGTCACTTCTGCCCTGAGCTGCCCCTTCTCCCAGGGGCTTTTTGGGGAAAAAAATCATATCTGTAAGAATTTCCCGCTTCAGGGGGAAATAAAGCCAAATGTTAATTAATTCTCCTGTGCTGCCAGGAGCTTGTGGGCCCAAAGTGCCACTTCCAGGGCCACTACAAAGAGTTGGGTCCGTGGGGTTGCTCCTGGAAATCCCATTTTGGGTTTTACCTGAGCTGGCATCCTCTCCTGGATAAAGACACACTCCAAAACAAGTTCATTCTGAGCTCTCATTTCTCAGGCTATCAGCTCTTTTCTGAGAAATAACCACTAAGCCCCAAATCCACAAATCAAACTGCCAGAAGCTCTTTCCCAGGAACCCCTTCAGAGTGGCCCAAGGGCATTATTTTTTATGGGCCTGATTAGGTGATTTTCAGCAAAAAGTTGTTTTGCCCAAGGCCATTTGTCCATCTGCAGCCCTTTCTCGGGGTAGAGAGACACCTTTTGACCTGCAGGGAGCAGATGGTCCCATTTCCCCATGCCCAGAGCCACAAAAGGAGGTTTTTCAGCCCTGGTGGATCCCGGGGATCCTTTGCAGGGGTGGAGGGATGTTCTCACCTCCACAGGGGTGTTCAGTTGAGGTGAATGGGCAGCCTGGGGTGGTTTTGAGGTGGCTGCTGGGGCTGGAGGAGGTGACACCCATCTCAACTTGTTGACATCTCAACTCCTCACAGGTCACCAGTGAGTGTGGACCCAGCAGCTCGTCCTGCAGCCCCGAGTGGAGCACCCAGCTGGAGTTTGGCACCAACCCTGCAGGTAAAGAAGGTCCTGCTGTGCCACCCCTCGGCCTCCCTGGGCTCTGGAGGGAGTGGGAACAGTGGGGGACACCACAGCACATCACTGAGCCACTCCCCCCAAACAAAGGAGCAAAGGACAGAAAGAGCCTTGTCCTTCTCTCCCCACCCCACTGCTGCAGAGGGGTGACCTCAGAAATCCTCCTTGATTCAATTCTCATCAAATTCAGGCTTCTCCAAGCCCTGATTTCACTGAGGCACCAGATCTCAGGAGCTGAGAAACTGCACTGCAGTAGCCAGGGGTCCTGGTGGCTTCACCCCCAGCAAGGCTCATCCACGGCCATCCCCGGATCCCTCCTTTAGAGAGCTGAGGAAACGGAGGGGAATGAGGATCCTCAGAGCCTTCTCCATCCCACAAAGAGCTGGGGGAGAAGGGCAGAGGGATGAAGATGATCATAGCTGAATCCCTCCCATAAAAAGGGGAAGATGAGGGTGAGCAGAGGCAGCTCCATCCAAAAAGGGCTGTGGTGCTGAGCATTGCTGAGGATCTCTGAGAGTTGCTGAGGATCTTTGAGCCTTCCTGAGGATCTCTGAGAGTTGCTGAGGATCTCTCAGCATTCCTGAGGATCTCTGAGAGTTCCTGAGGATTTCTGAGAGTTGCTGAGGATCTCTGAGAGTTGCTGAGGATCTCTGAGCACTGCTGAGGATCTCTGAGCCTTGCTGAGGATCTCTGAGCATCTCTGTCCCGGGCTCCCCTTCCCTCCCCACTCCCCCTCTGCAGCTGCTGATCATTTTTCCACAATTACAGTTAATTCCCCCCCCCCCCGCCCCCCCCGCCCAATCCACCTGTTATTTTCCCCAGAAGGCAGAAACTTGAATCTCTTTTTCCAGCAGAGAATAAACCCCAAAAAGTGTTCAAAAATCCCACCCCTTGTTGCTCTCTCCTCCTTCCCCAGGGTGGGAACTGGGAGCAGGTCCCACTCTGGCCACGGGAGGGACCACAAGGCCATAGAGTTGTGGAACAGAATCACCAAATTGAGGTTGGAAAAGACCTTTAGGATCATCAATCAGCACCAGCACTAAACCCTGTCCCCCGCGGAGCCAGGAGCTGTCCCCCAGCTCAGGGTGCCCGTCCCCATCAGTGCCACCCGCGTTGCTCCTCGCAGATCACCTGCTGGCCGAGGAGGGGCCGGAGGAGCGGGACCTGCCCTCACTGTCCTCCATCGTCGACAGCATCGCCGGCGACGACGTGGCCGTGACGTTCCGGGAGGAGCCGCTCCAGAACTGAACCGGCACCGACCGCTCGAGCTGGGGGCTGGACCCTGGAAGTGTCCGGCCCTGGGGATCACATTTACCCCCCAGCAGCGCTGAGACCGCTCAGCTCCTTCCCACTGCCCGCCAAACGCTCATCCCCACCCAGCCGGCGACGAGACCGGGGAGAGGTGGGGTATTGGCAGGGCCCGGTTCTTGGCGTGGGGCTCTGCTCTGCTCTGCTCCCCAGTTTTGGGGTTTTGGGGGCCAATGTGTGTGCTGGGTTCGCTTTGCTGATGTTTTTATCCCAGATGCTCCTTGACCAAGGGCTCTCTCGGGCCGGTGCTGACCCAGAGCCTGCCCCGTCTTTTCTACTGAGCGCTGTGTGCAGTTGCCATTTAGAGGTTTGGTTTTTTAATTATTATTTTTGCTAACTTATTTGGATTTTTTTTTTTTTTTAATAAAGGCATTCTTGTTTGGACTGCTTGGGGTTTTCCTTTAGTGCTGTTTCCCTCTGTGCAGGTGGCCCCAGTTCCCAGGTCAGGGTTTTCTGTATCAGAAAATCCAGCTGGACCTCAGTGCAGTCGCTCAGGTGGGAACTGGATGTGCCACATTTAAATCAGCCCTTGAGACACCAGTGGATTGAGATCCCCAGCAACCGGGGCTCAGCCCTGTACCCCAAGGCTCCTGGGGGGGCTAAAGATTCATGATATTTTTAATTTGGCCTCTAGAAAGAAGGCTCGAGCCCAGCACTGTTTTAAAATCCTGTTTATTGGAACACACATACATCCTTTCCTGACCCGATCCAGGGTTTGGAGTCCATGCAGTACCAATAATATGACAAAAGAAATAGGGCATTGATATAAAGGGCTCACCGACTCTTCAAATTAAAAAAATATTTAATACTGTATTAGGCAAATAATACACCGAAAAGACGTCGTGACTGTAGAGCCTCTCAGATATTGCACTTCCAAACAGCACATGATAAAAGTATAAGGTCATTCCAGCCATCAATAAATATCACATCAGAAATAGGGGCCACACAAGGCAAACGTGGCATGAGGAGACAAAGAGATCCTACCCTACGGGGGGAGAAATGGGAAGAGTTAAGAGTCTCCTGGATTGATCCCTGCCCGTAGCCTGGAGGCAGGAGGGGAGAGCATCTCCTCTGCACCCGGAGGGGAAGGGGTGGGCAGGTCCCGGGGGGCTCTGGGTGCTCCCGTGCGACTCCCCGGGTCCCCAAGGGGGGTCCCCTCTCCCGTGGGTGCCGGCAGCGTCCTGGCACTGAGTCACACAGGGCAGTGCCCGCCCTCCCCACACAGCCCTGCCCTGCGGGCACGGCCTCCCCGCTCCGTGGGCACCTGACAGCACCAACATGAGCACCTGGGCAGACACCACCCTCCTCACCCCCCCACGGCCCCACCCACACACAGCACCAACCCCGGCACTGCCCCCGGCCCCGGGGACAGTTCCCTGCCCGGTCACCCCGGCAGAGTCTGAATCTGAATCTTCTTGGCTTCAAGTCCTGAGGGCAGCACATCCCCCACAGCCCAGGCCGGGCAGGTCAGGATTGGCACCGTGAACCAGGCAGGAGGAAGGGTTCCAAACATCACAGCCCGCTCTGGGGGCGTCTCTGTCGTTCCGTGGCTGTCCCCGCGCTGGGACGACCCCTGGAGCACATTCCCAGCAGCGAGAGCAGGGCTGGGTGGGCAGGCCACGGGCGGGAGCCACGGGGGAAGCGGTGGGTTCACAAGCAGGAGGGACAGATCCTGGCCGGTCCAGAGCAGTGAGGCCGAGGGACAGGCTGGGCTCTTGTCCTGGAAGGCAGCCAGCACGTGGCCACTCGGAGAGCAGGGAGTGCTGAGGAACAAAGCAGGGAAGGCCCCGTGAGAGCGGTGGTTCAGCTCCAACAAACCCAGCGGGAGTGGGCAATTCCTGGCACAGAACCAGGAACCCAGGGGTACAGCAGGATCCCAGGAGCCTCCCGAAGTGCTTTACTACCCTTCCCTCACCCCCCATCTAGGATGGCACCCTGGGGGTCCCCAGAGCAGTTGGATAAAGCGCCCAGGTTGGGATGCAGAGCGTCCCTCCTGCATCTCCTCGGGGTCCTGAGAGCCTCAGGCAGCGGCAGCTGCCCCACCCCTGAGGTCTCCAATGGTTCTCCATGGCAAGGCAAACCTTGGAGAAGGCAGCCAGACTGCCTGGCTGTTGCTGGTGCCCCCCCAGCTCACAGGCCTGGGTCTCCTCACACTTACCCAGGGCCGGGGTCCCGTCTGGCTGACCCTCAGCAGGAGTACGTCCGCACCGTGGAGGTCTCCAGCCTGGGTGACCCGGAGGCACCAACTGGGAGGGAGTCAAAGAGCAAAGCAATTGGTGACTGCTCCATCAGCCCTCAGCTTCCCCCAAACCATTTACTCAGCAGAATCTGTGCCCTGCAGCCCCGAGATGAGGGCCAAAGGAAGAGCAGTGTTTGGCCAGCACTGATGGTCCCGAAGCTCCAGGGTATTTGGGAAGTGGCCTCTTGCCATCCCTATTCCTGAGGAGCTCCCTGTGTCTGGGTGGGATTCTGTCCCAGGTTTCATTGCCCTCAGCTGGGTGGGATCTGCAGCTTCCAGGGATGGAGTGGGAAAGGTCGAAGGGAAGTTTGACCCAAACTGCTGGACAGGAAACTGTGACATTTGAGTCAACTTGCAGGCAGGAGAAGAGCTGAGCCTGGGGTTTGGAGCTTGGAGGTGAAGGCAAAACATTCCAGTTTTCATTCTCCCCTCATTTCTGAGCCTGCTGACGCCAGCTCTGCTCCACTGGGGATGTAACATGTGGTTTGGGACAGTGGGACCAGGGTGCCTGGTGCAGGGGACAGAAGCTGGAGCTTTGGAAGGGACCAGGATACCTTGGAGGAAGGAGCTGGGACAGGTGTGCTCAGGAACAACACCCAAACCCAGCA